CTCCCTGGACATCTTCAAATCATCACTAAAAACACACCTGTTCACCCTGGCCTTCGGGCCCTAGCCCTTTTCTGGTCCCCCGACTTCCTTTATTTACTTCTTTGGTTTGCCCGTTGATTGTCTGTTTGTTTTGTTTGTCCACCATGTACAGCGACCTTGGGTCCCTTGAAAGGCGCTATATAAATATAATTCATTATTATTATTAATGAGATTTTCAAAACATAAATAGAATTATAAAAGTCTGAATTTTGACTTTTTTCTCATAATTCTGAATTTTTCACGTATTCTTTCTCATAATTCTGAATTTTTCACGTATTCTTTCTCATAATTCTGAATTTTTCACGTCTTTTTTCTCATAATTCTGACTTGTTTCTCAGAACTCGTAACAAAAATGTCACTTTTGTTCAGATCTAACAAAAGAAATCACATGTGGCCCTCATCCTCGTCCATATGCTCGTAGGTATAAAGTTGAACATGGCTTTGGTTTTCTGTTAAGAGGTCGGGGTTTGGTTCAGATTTGCTTCGGTTAAACTACAAGAGTGTGAGTGGGAACTTTTGTCACGAAACATGGACGCTGCACGCTGCCCGCTCCTAACAGGAAGTAATGATGTTGAAACACAAAGAGTCCAACATGTCTGTTTTAGCAAAGCCACAGACTAACATCTGCTGACCATCGATGAGTCAGACTCACGCTGCTGCTGATGTGTTTTTGTTCAAGAGCTGAAATTCAAATTCTAATCTTTTTGTGCAAGATGAAAAGTAACTCGATTTAAAGCTTCCGGCTGTGTTAGAATAATTCAATCAAGACGGAGTTACTTCCCAGGGCCGGTGATCTTTGTATAAAGAGGTTACAGTACGAGGGACTTTTAGATAAGAGTGATTTTTAAGGTTGAGGCTAATGTAACCTAAAGCTATACTCTAAGATATTGAATTGTCTTCAAACACCGAAACAAATAGACTTTCAAAGGAGACACGGCATCCCAGCTTCATGTAAGACTTCCTCTCAGTCACTGTTTCAAGTATAATGCTTTCATCTTAAATGGAGTTAAGAAAGGAACAACATGTGTTAAAGGTGTCATAACTTTCCTTCAGCTAAAATGTCAAGTTATATTTTTGATCATTGTGTACTTACAAAATCACATCGTTTGAATTTTCTATGATTGTAAAAATACCATATTTTATTTTACTTACACTTACTTCTTATTGTTTTGTTCTATTTCTTTTATTTATTTCATTTTCAAATGAAGCAACCGTCACAACACCCAATTTCCCCCCGGGAAAATTAAGTATTCTGATCTCCATTAGTTCTGAAGTTACAATGCATTTAGAAAATACTAGAACCTCTTGGCTTTTTCACAATATGCTATATAATAATAATAATAGATTTAATTTGTTAGCGCTTTTACAGGTGCTCAAAGACGCTTTACAGATATAGTGAAGGGAAAAGAAAAGTATATATATATGTATATGTATATGTATATGTCATCAGGACAAAGCCAAAGGTTGTTTTTTTTGCAAGTATATTTAAAACAAAAACTGAAATCTAAAATGTACTTAGGTATTTACACACACACACACACACACACACACACACACACACACACACACACACACACACACACACACACACACACACACACACACACACACACACACACACACACACACACACACACCTGCTGTCTTTATAAAGTCTCACCACTCAGAGCAAGACTGAGCCAAAAGGTGTAAAGAACCAGGAGTGTAATTGAGCGACAGATACGGTTACAAAATATATTTGTACTGCTTTGACAGTTTACAAGAGCACAGTGGCCTCCATCATTATGAAATGGAGGAAGTTTAAAGCAGCAAGGGCTCCTCCTAGAGTGTAAATAGCTTATTCAGGAAAATGGCTTTGCAAAAAAGAGATTAAGAAACAAGATTCTTTGACCCGATGTCACAAATGATGACTTTAGACTCGACAAAATCAAAAGGACTTGCATTACGACTTGCACGCCAATGACTTCACTTGGAAACCTTTTGACAGGAAGCCCAACAATTCAAAAAGTGTTATTTCCATCAACCAAAGAGCATTCACTTAACGACAACAACTAGCCTTACGTTACTGATCACAGCTGGAGAAGGTTAAACCAGAGATCATTGTGTTTGCTTGGAATGTGATGGCACACAGTTTGTGACAAATGTGATGGTAGAAATTAGTGAAGAGTACTTTTTAACTTCTTATGACTCAATAATAAAAGTTTAGGACCGTTGACTTGAGTGCAAAGTCTTGATACTTGTGAAACAATGACTTGGTCCCACCTTCGATATAAAGTCAAACACGGCCCCCATACACACATATAACATGTGCTAAATATATTGACCGTAAATAGCTGTGGTATATACTTCCACCTTTAATACTTTCCCCTGGCTGCTATATCGCTAAACTGTTACTGGTACTATGTGTATTTTGTACATTTTGTTTAAATACTTACTAGTTGTATCTTTTAATATTTGTATGCATGATTCTTTAATTAAAGGCTATCTTTGGATTTGCTGTAACATGTGCTATACACTTTATACTGGCTCCTTTATATTCCTATATGTAGCAGCCTGAGTGGAAGTGAGGGGAAATACTTAGACATCAAAATAAATGTTCATCCTTCAAAATAGATTAATACAAATTGAACACATTTGTTAAACAGCAATAAGCCCACTCTTTATTCATTTAAAGAAGGCCCTAAAATGAAAGGATTTGGTTGACAATTCAAATCATCACAGAGCAGTTGTGATGAAACTGTTGAAACAACATCCACAATATTCATCTGGCTGCTACTTAAAAATGATTTATCTATATGTTTCTGTTTATCTGTGTTTCACTGTTGGAGAAGCCTGTGACACAACATTTTCATCGACATAACTAAACTGTAGATATGTTCGTTTGACAAATAAAGAACCTTGAACCTTGAGCAAGCAAAGCAAAGCCTCTTAGTATCCTCAGCTGTTGTCAAAGAGAAAGCGAACATGACCTGAGAGGAATGTGTCGATGAAGCAGTTTCAGTGTGAAGTTTGTCGGACAGTGATTCACGAAGGGTTAAAGACAGGAGGAGTGTTCAGTGCTCAGAGAAGATCAGGAAGAGAAGACCTCTCACTCTGTTCCTATTACCAGCTACAGAAAGTAAATAAAGAAACCTTTTGGAGGACAACACTTAACACAATTAAAGCAATAACATTTACGCATGCAAACTGATGACAGTAAGACTCCTAACAAAACACACCATTTGAGGCGTTAAATAGAAAAATATGATTGAAATTGCTTCTATGTGTCCTCGTCCTTTCTGTTATCTCAATTAATACTATTACTACATGTTTATTCTTATTATTGTATTTGTATTATCCTGTGTGTACTATCTGTGCTTCTTTCTAATTCTGCTGCTGCTATGACACCTGCATTTCCCTATTGGGTCAATAAAGGTCCATCTTATCTTATTGTGTGTGTCTACATGCCATGCTGTTTGTTTTGTTTGTATTTACAGACTTTAGGATTTGTGATCTGCTCCTTTACTAAATATATTTGGGGATTTAGATATGACTAAATTAGCCTGAGCTTTTCCAGTGAGGAACACGTAATGCATCGAAGATTACAATCCAATAATATGGGTCTAATAAACTAGATTAAATTCAAGTTACATTGTCAAGGATATCCTGATAACATTTTGAATCGTCCTTCAAAGACGGCTATTTTATTGAATCAAAGGTCACACAGAGGCATTTGTTTTTCCAATACCTCCATGTGGACTCTTAAGATAAAGCAGCGGTAACAGAAAACAGAAACAGCATCCCAAATGTTGTAGAATACATGGAGTACTCCTGTAGCCTGTATGCAAACATGCACAATGCTTTTTAATAAATATGTTGCGATTGTTGTTGTTTGCAGTCATCATGAATAAGACAACACACGTTTTATTAAGTCTCTGAGTACATTTCAAAGTAACCGTCCCAGCCCTGATGCTCAACAGATTATATTTATCCATTTATTAGTTTATTCCACTCGTGGCAATTATTATTAAAAGAAAAAATTGTAAACTTTAAACAGTTTTTGAACCCAGGATGGAAAGGAGCAGGGAGAAGAAAAGTCATATTCAGAGGTGGAAGAAGTACAAGAGTTTAGTAATACTGTGTTTCAAGTAAAATACCTGCATTCAAAATGTTACTCAAGTAAAAGTAGAAGTACTCAGATCTTGTACTTCAGAAAAGTAGAAGTACTCAGATCTTGTACTTGAGTCAAAGTAGAAGTACCAGAGTGTAATACTCTGTTACAAGTATTAAATAATTGTAGTGGAGTAGAAGTACAAAAGAGCAAACAATGGAAATACTCAAGTAAAGTACAAGTAGGCCTACCTCAAAATTGTACTTAAGTACAGTACTTGAGTAAATGTACTTAATAACGTCCCACCTCTGGTCATATTTGACCTGCCAGTTACTCTAAAATCGAGGGTCTGTCAGTCACAGCTGTTTACAAATACTTACAGTAACAGGAAACCCAACATACAATCAAAAGTCAACACAACAATCTCCCATTGATCAGCAAAACAGTGTTATAGTTTCACATATGGCGGTACCGCAGCATCAGGACTAAAACCACCCGACTAAGGGTCAGTTTCATCCCACAGGCCATAAGACTATTAAACACCTGAACTTTTGAAAGAACATCCATAACATTCATCAGTTTGCAACTTATATATCAATATTCCAATTACTTGTATGTAGACTACTCGGCACTATTTATATTATTTTCTATTTTATTTGATTTACTTGCACTACTATCTGTTGCACTGTTGGAGGAGCCTGTGACCTAAGATTTACATTGTCCTCATAACTACACTGTAGCTGTGTACACATGACCATAAAACCCTTCAATCTTGAATGTAGAAAAACGTGTATTTACCGGTCTGTTGTTTTATTTACGGAGTGGTTCATCTTGATTATAGAAGATCTTTGTTACAGTCCACTCCCAGTAGTGTTGTTCCTGAACCAAGACATCATGAAGCGGTGTTTGTGTTTCGATTCTCCCAGCCGTCAAACTGCTTTCCCGGCGTCTTTTTGATCAGATATGTCATAACCCATCACAAGACAACACCATGGATTCACTGCTTGTATTTTAAAGGAGATATAATATGTTTTTAAGGACTTATACTATGTTGTTTTACCGGCTCTGTCACCGCCTACATTAACATTACATTAACGATACAATGTTGTGTTGTACAGTGTTAGCTAACGCCACTAGCCACCTAGCCTAACCGCCGGTAAACTTGTACCGTTGGTATTAATGGAGGGAGGCGACGAAAACCAAGAAACCGCGTCGAGGTTCAAACGATTTGTGCCGGTGTTATTCCCGGTTTACCGAACACTGAGCTGAAGAAACTGTTATCTTTTAAAGTTTACAAGAGGAGGTGGTTTGTTCTGCTGGTTCTATGTCTGTTGAACTGCTCCAACGCAACGGTGAGTTAACGTGTGTGTGTGTGTGTGTGTGTGTGTGTGTGTGTGCATAATGTCAACAACAGAGTAGACATTACTTTGACCCTTACATGGGCAATGACATAAATATTATGTACAATTCATTTATTGGTATTGTGTACATTACACCCATATTACACATCAATACAGCCCTATTACTCTCCATAATACAGTGTTAACATTACACCCCTATTACAGCCCTATTACTCTGTTATTACAGCCATGTTACACTTTTATTACAGCTATGTTACAGTGTTATAAGTCCCATATTACACTGATACTACTCTGTTATTAGGCCCTTCCTACACATGGAAACAGCCTGTCAAATGAAGCCATTTAAGTGTTAAATGCAGCTTGTGTTTCACAGATTTGAGTTAATAAAGTCGAAGCAATGTGGTATTCATAGTAGATATAAAAGTTGTATTTTGGACAATTTAAGATTCATATTTGCTAATGTGTGTCTAATGTAGCAGCTGCCGAATCAAACTGTTACATGTCTAATATGTTTAATGTGTAATTGTAAAGCGCTTTGAGTGCCTTGAAAAGTGCTCTACTACAAATACATTATTATTATGAAGCAACATGGTTAATTTTTTTTCTTTTAATCGGAGTTTTCGAATTGAATAATGTTGTCAAACAAATGTGGTGGAGTGAAAAGTGCAGTATAGCCTCCAAATTGTAGTTGAGGAGATGTATAACGTTGCATAAGAAATGACCTCAACATTGTCGGCCTACTTATTCAGTACAGTGTCCCAATATTACTCAAATAGTCTGGTCACACCAAACATTAAGCTCCAGCCTAGCGTCCGTTTGAGCAGAAACATTTACAATCTGTGGGAAAAAATCACAAAGCCAAGAAGTTTCCAATTACACAAACCTGCGTTTCCACATTCAAAACAAAAGCTGCCACCTGAATCCCTGACAGCTTGTTGTCCTTGTACTCAGATATCTGGCCATCTCTCTGCACTGATAAAGCAGGTGTGTCTGGGAACAGTGCGTCAATGACATGTGGCGCCTCCTTATGTTTCCTGGATACTGATATAGTTCCCCAGGGTGAGCTGCCATTGATAATCAGAGTGAGCCTGGAGGCAAAGTGTGCCGTCTCAGTCACCTCCATCACCCCCCCAGCTCCCATGGGGACTGCTCCTCTCTATGGTCCTCTCTGTGAGCACCATTGTTTCCAGGGGTGGGGCTGTTCCCTCTCACAACAGACGCTCAGCTGGCCGACAGTCATTCATGACGGAGCGAACAACAGCCGATGGGCCAGTTAGACATCTATCAGTCCGCCATTAGCATCCAAACTGAGGCCTCAGGGGGGATTTACAGAAAACAATAACAGTAGTTGGCTTGTAAATTGATTTAGGATTCATTGTGAGAGCCATAAACATTTACATTGTGTTAAATCACACAGAGTCATGTGGAAACACTGCATGCAGAATATGAAACACCAGAAGCTTTGAAATAAATAAGCCACAATTGTTAAGTTCAAGTCAAAGTCAACTTTATTGTCAATCTATCAGTTTGTGTGCAGACAGAGAGATCGAAATACCGTTTCCCACAATCCCGAATACAAAAATACAAATATATATAACGCTATAAACGAAGAAGCGCCAAAAGCCATTTCCCATTATGCGTGGGTATGGAAGCAAATATTCAAATGTAAAATACCAATAGTATTTAAATGACTAAATGACTCAAATTTGAATGATAGTTATTTACAGCACATTTTAGACCGTTTTATTCGGGTAGAATTGCAAAAATGTGTTTGAGAAGTTTGGGTTTGTTTCACGTTGTTGAATAGCCATTTATTGTTTGTACAATATAAAGAAAGAAAGAAAGACATTTATCGATTTCAATTCAGTCATTCTTTGGACTGATCGGGACGTGAACCGGCAATCAATCAATGTTCTATACTTGTGTGTAAATCTGTATCGTTCACTTTCTTACCATTAACACCAATCACGAACAGATTGTCTTTTTTAAATGTGACTAAGATAACATGTAATCAAATCAAAGATGTTTTCTTTATTTGGTCATGAACCGTTTGAATGATTTATAGCCAACATCTCTGCACCTGCATGAAGCGCTGTAGTTTCAGTACGATATGAAACTAGTGGAAACTATAAACGTAGTCTTGTTGTAGCGTCACCACATTGTAAAAGTGCCGAGTTCCGTCTAACACCGACAGAAGTGTGTTTTCTGACAGATATTGCGATTCGATTTGCGATATTTGTTTTTAAGCGACCCAACGGAAGTTTATTGTAAAATGCGGCCATATCTCACCAAAGCATCTAAAGCTCCACTGGAAGCCATTTTGAAAGGGCGGGCACTTTCAAAAATACTTGTCAGGTGATTGGATCAATCTGTCTATCGCCTTCTATCATGGGCCACTTCTGATTGGTTAACAATGGCTGGTGCACTTCTGATTGGTTAACAATGGCTGGTGCACTTCTGATTGGTTAACAATGGCTGGTGCACTTCTGATTGGTGTGGATGACTGACACACAAGAAAAAAAAAATCGTAGGCTTTGCGATTTGATAATTGCATCATTTCAAATCGCGATTTCAATTTTAAATCGATGAATCGTTCAGCCCTAGTATCACGGAGACTCTGCAAACAGAAAAAGGTCTCAACAATAAGAAAAGAAGGATGATGTTAACCTTATTCATTTCCTCTGTGAGAAACAGAACTGGCGTTGTGACTCTAAATCAGCTGACCAGCTTACGAAGACTCGACTGCTTAAAATAGATGTATTCATTGTCACAAACAGAGGGTTGTAGTGTCGAGGCTACATGGATTTAATCACAGCTATCATCGCTATACGCTGCATGTCCTCTTTAATACTCAGCGCTGTACGATACCAGTCTGTGGAAACATTGGTATAACTGCCTTTTTTAAATTATATTTGAATGTCTTTTTAAAAATGGACCTTGAGTCTCTTCAATAAAGCTGATTGATTGAATGCACTTTAATGCTGTTTCTAAATACAGGTTCATATATAAACACATGTCTTGATCTCTTATACGTGTGTAACCTGGATTTTGGGTTACTAAGCTAACGTTTACAAAACAAGTCACATTGCCTGTACCAAATGAGGTTATTGCAGTGTTTACGTGCCCTGCAGGAACATGGTTACTGTCAGCCCTGTTGTATGGGTTATGGTGAAAGAGGTTTTTATCAAAGTGTTAACGTGGCTGAAATAAAGCCAGAAGCTTGTTCATTATATTATATTATGTCTCAGTTTCAGTCTCACTCAAATAAAGGCTACTTCTCGTATATCTTTTCACTCTCTCAGGACATGCATGTTAGCTGAGCAGATGGGCCATTTCCTCTTTGGGTCACATGACTGTAGCAAGAGACACCCGATCACTATCTTAAAGGTCCCATGTCATGCTTTTCTGGTTATCACCCGTCCCCTTGTGTTATGAAGGTTTTTCTGCATGTAAACGGTCTGCAGAGCCACACACCCTCAAAGTACACCCTGTAGCGAGTAAAACTAACACAGAGAAGACCTGTCTGCTGCCCCAGAACGCCTCGTTGGACATTTATCTTTTTCCATTGTTTTCTTCCAGGGTATGGTGGATGGACGTAACGAGTATAGTGACGTAACGGCTCCTCACACACACACACACTCACTCAGCCTTATCTCTCAGCCGCGGCTCCGCGGATCTCCGCACACACACGGCTCAGGCTAAGTCCCGCGCTGTCTCGCAGACCCCATTTTTATTTTCAAGAAAAATGTACGCTAGAGGGGGGAGGGCCAGAAACGTTTTTTTAAGCTTCTTTTTGCACCTGTTGAACATGACAGAGACTATTTGAGAATTTATTTATTTGAATTTTGTTGTACCTTGAACGATTTTTGCATCTCTTTGTTATAATTATTATTATTAAAAAAAGTTTCTGACATGTTCAATAAATTGACTAATAAAAAAGAGAACGGGTATCCTGCTAAAATAAAACATATATTTGACCAGGTTTTGTCCTTTGTGTCCTCCCAGTTATGGCTGAGCTTCGCCCCGGTGGCGGACCAGTCGGCCCGGTACCTGCAGGTGGGTCTGCAGCAGGTCAACTGGCTCTCCATTATCTACATGATAGTGGCCATCCCGCTCAGCTTCGCCACCTCCTGGATGCTGGACGTCCTCGGGCTGCGGATCACGGTACACCTCGCTCTGGACACAAATAAGGAACCTGTGCCTTACTGGGAGGATTCAGCTACAACATATTAGAGCAATAGCTGCATACACTATTTAAAGGACACCTATTATGCAACATCCTCTTCTTCATGTCTCTTCTACATCAACATGTGTCCCCTCTTCTTCATGTCTCTTCTACATCAACATGTGTCCCCTCTTCTTCATGTCTCTTCTACATCAACATGTGTCCCCTCTTCTTCATGTCTCTTCTTCATCAACATGTGTCCCCTCTTCTTCATGTCTCTTCTACATCAACATGTGTCCCCTCTTCTTCATGTCTCTTCTACATCAACATGTGTCCCCTCTTCTTCATGTCTCTTCTACATCAACATGTGTCCCCTCTTCTTCATGTCTCTTTTACATCAACATGTGTCCCCTCTTCTTCATGTCTCTTCTACATCAACATGTGTCCCCTCTTCTTCATGTCTCTTCTACATCAACATGTGTCCCCTCTTCTTCATGTCTCCTCTACATCAACATGTGTCCCCTCTTCTTCATGTCTCCTCTACATCAACATGTGTCCCCCTCTTCTTCATGTCTCTTCTACATCAACATGTGTCCCCTCTTCTTCATGTCTCTTCTACATCAACTGTGGTCCCCTCTTCTTCATGTCTCTTCTACTCAACATGGTGTCCCCTCTTCTTCAGTTGTCTCTTACTCCACATCAACATGTGTCCCCTCTTCTTCGTGTCTCTTCTACATCAACATGTGTCCCCTCTTCTTCATGTCTCTTCTACATCAACATGTGTCCCCTCTTCTTCATGTCTCTTCTACATCAACATGTGTCCCCCTCTTCTTCATGTCTCTTCTAACATCAACATGTGTCCCCTCTTCTTCATGTCTCTTCTACATCAACATGTGTCCCCTCTTCTTCATGTCTCTTCTACATCAACATGTGTCCCCCCCTCTTCTTCATGTCTCTTCTACATCAACATGTGCCCCTCTTCTTCATGTCTCTTCTACTCAACATGTGTCCCCCTCTTCTTCATGTCTCTTCTACATCAACATTGTGTCCCCTCTTTCTTCTACATCACCCTCTTCTTCATGTCTCTTCTACATCAACAACGTGTCCCCTCTTCTTCATGTCTCTTCTACATCAACACGTGTCCCCTCTTCTTCATGTCTCTTCTACATCAACACTGTGTCCCCTCTTCTTCATGTCTCTTCTACATCAACATGGGTACCCTCCCCTCATTCTTTATGTCCTCCTCTACATCAACATGTGTCCCTCTTCTTCATGTCTCTTCTACATCAACATGTGTCCCCTCTCTTCATGTCTCTTCTACATCAACCATGTGTCCCCTCTTCTTCATGTCTCCTTCTTCATCAACATGTGGTCCCCTCTTCTTCAGGTCTCTTCTACATCAACATGTGTCCCCCTCTTCTTCATGTCTCTTCCCACATCAACATGTGTCCCCTCTTCTTCATGTCTCTTCTACATCAACATGTGTCCCCTCTTCTTCATTCTCTTCTACATCAACATGTGTCCCTCTTCTCCATGTCTCTTCTCATCAACATGTGTCCCCTCTTCTTCATGTCTCTTCTACAATCAACATGTGTCCCCTCTTCTTCATGTCTCTTCCACATCAACATGTGTCCCCCTCTTCTTCATGTCTCTTCTTCATCACCATGTGTCCCCTCTTCTTCATGTCTCTTCTACATCACATGTGTCCCCTCTTCTTCCTGTCTCTTCTACAATCAACATGTGTCCCCCTCTTCTTCATGTCTCTTCTTCTCATCAACATGTGTCCCCCGCTTCTTCCTGTCTCTTCTACATCAACATGTGTCCCCTCTTCTTCCTGTCTCTTCTACATCAACATGTGTCCCCTCTTCCTCATGTCTCTTCTACATCAATATGTGTCTCCTCTTCTTCATGTCTCTTCTACATCAACATGTGTCCCCTCTTCCTCATGTCTCTTCTACATCAACATGTGTCCCCTCTTCTTCATGTCTCTTCTACATCAACATGTGTCCCCCTCTTCTTCATGTCTCTTCTACATCAAGCATGTGTCCCCTCTTCTTCATGTCTCTTCTACATCAACATGTGTCCCCTCTTCTTCATGTCTCTTCTACATCAACATGTGTCCCCTCTTCTTCATGTCTCTTCTACATCAACATGTGTCCCCTCTTCTTCATGTCTCTTCTACATCAACATGTGTCCCCTCTTCTTCATGTCTCTTCTTCATCAACATGTGTCCCCTCTTCTTCATGTCTCTTCTTTATCAACATGTGTCCCCTCTTCTTCATTCTCTTCTTCATCAACATGTGTCCCCATCAACATGTGTCCCCTCTTCTTCATGTCTCTTCTACATCAACATGTGTCCCCTCTTCTCATGTCTCTTCTTCATCAACATGTGTCCCCTCTTCTTCATGTCTCTTCTACATCAACATGTGTCCCCTCTTCTTCATGTCTCTTCTTCATCAACATGTGTCCCCTCTTCTTCATGTCTCTTACATCAACATGTGTCCCCTCTTCTTCATGTCTCTTCCACATCAACATGTGTCCCCTCTTCTTCATGTCTCTTCTTCATCACCATGTGTCCCCTCTTCTTCATGTCTCTTCTACATCAACATGTGTCCCCTCTTCTTCCTGTCTCTTCCTACATCACATGTGTCCCCCTCTTCTTCATGTCTCTTCTTCATCAACATGTGTCCCCCTCTTCTTCCTGTCTCTTCTACATCAACATGTGTCCCCCTCTTCTTCATGTCTCTTCTACATCAACATGTGTCCCCTCTTCTTCATGTCTCTTCTACATCAACATGTGTCCCCTCTTCTTCATGTCTCTTCTACATCAACATGTGTCCCCTCTTCTTCATGTCTCTTCTACATCAACATGTGTCCCCTCTTCTTCATGTCTCTTCTACATCAACACGTGTCCCCTCTTCTTCATGTCTCTTCTACATCAACACGTGTCCCCTCTTCTTCATGTCTCTTCTACATCAACATGTGTCCCCTCTTCTTCATGTCTCTTCTACATCAACATGTGTCCCCTCTTATTCATGTCTCTTCTACATCAACATGTGTCCCCTCTTCTTCATGTCTCTTCTACATCAACATGTTGTCCCCTCTTCTTCGATGTCTCTTCTTACATCAACATGTGTCCCCTTCTTCTTTCCGTCTCTTCTACATCAACATGTGTCCCCCCTCTTCTTCATGTCTCTCTTCTACATCAACATGTTGTCCCCTCTTCTTCATGATCTCTTCTTCATCAACATGTGTCCCCTCTTCTTCATGTCTCTTCTACATCAACATGTGTCCCCTCTTCTTCAGTCTCTTCTACATCAACATGTGTCCCCTCTTCTTCATGTCTCTTCTACATCAACATGTGTCCCCTCTTCTGTCATGTCTCTTTCTACATCAACATGTGTCCCCTCTTCTTCATGTCTCTCTACATCAACATGTGCTGCACCCCTCGTCTTCATGCTCCTCTACATCAACATGTGTCCCCTCTTCTTCATGTCTCTTCTACATCAACATGTGTCCCCTCTCTCATGTCTCTTCTACATCAACATGTGTCCCCTCTTCTTCATGTCTCTTCTACATCAACATGTGTCCCCTCTTCTACACATCAACATGTGTCCTCACTCTTCTGCATGTCTCTTCTCCATCAACCTGTGTCCCCTTCTTCTTCATGTCTCCTCTACTATCAACATGTTGTCCCCTCTTCTTCATGTCTCTCTACATCAACATGTGTCCCCTCCATCTTCTTCATGTCTCCTTCTACCCATATCACATGTGTCCCCTCTTCTTCATGCTCTTCTTCTTACATCAACATGTGTCCCCCTCTTCTTCATGTCCTCTTCTAACCTCAACATGTGATCCTCCTCTCTTCATTGTCTCCTCTCTCTCCATCAACATGTGTCCCCTCTTCTTCATGTCTCCTTCTTACATCAACATGTGCTCCCCTCTTCTTATGTCCTCACTTCTACCATCAACATGTGGTCCCTGTCCCCTCTTCTTCCTGATCTCTTCTATACATCAACATGTGTCCCCTCTTCTTCATGTCTCTTCTTACATCAACATGTGTCCCCTCTCTTCATGTCTCTTCTACATCAACCATGTGTCCCCTCTCCTACTGTCTCTTCTACATCAACATAGGCTTCTCCCTCTTCTTCATGTCTCTCTACATCAACATGTGTCCCCTCTTCTTCATGTCTCTTCTACATCAACATGTGTCCCCTCTTCTTCATGTCTCTTCCACATCAACATGTGTCCCCTCTTCTTCATGTCTCTTCCACATCAACATGTGTCCCCTCTCTTCATGTCTCTTCTACATCAACATGTGTCCCCTCTTCTTCATGTCTCTTCTTCATCACCATGTGTCCCCTCTTCTTCATGTCTCTTCTTCATCAACATGTCCCCTCTTCTTCATGTCTCTTCTACATCAACATGTGTCCCCTCTTCTTCATGTCTCTTCTACATCAACATGTGTCCCCTCTTCTTCATGTCTCTTCTACATCAACATGTGTCCCCTCTTCTTCATGTCTCTTCTACATCACATGTGTCCCCTCTTCTTCATGTCTCTTCTACATCAACATGTGTCCCCTCTTCTTCATGTCTCCTCTACATCAACATGTGTCCCCTCTTCTTCATGTCTCTTCTACATCAACATGTGTCCCCTCTTCTTCATGTCTCTTCTACATCAACATGTGTCCCCTCTTCTTCATGTCTCTTCTTCATCAACATGTGTCCCCTCTTCTTCATGTCTCTTCACATCAACATGTGTCCCCTCTTCTTCATGTCTCTTCCACATCAACATGTGTCCCCTCTTCTTCATGTCTCTTCACATCAACATGTGTCCCCTCTTCTTCATGTCTCTTCTACATCAACATGTGTCCCCTCTTCTTCATGTCTCTTCTTCATCAACATGTGTCCCCTCTTCTTCATGTCTCTTCTACATCAACATGTGTCCCCTTTCTTCATGTCTCTTCCACATCAACATGTGTCCCTCTTCTTCATGTCTCTTCTCATCACCATGTGTCCCCTCTCTTCATGTCTCTTCTACATCAACATGTGTCCCCTCTTCTTCTGTCTCTTCTACATCAACATGTGTCCCCTCTTCTTCATGTCTCTTCTTCATCAAACATGTGTCCCCTCTTCTTCATGTCTCTTCTACATCAACATGTGTCCCTCTTCCTTCATGTCTCTTCTACATCAATATGTGTCTCCTCTTCTTCATGTCTCTTCTACATCAACATGTGTCCCCTCTTATTCCTGTCTCTTCTACATCAACATGTGTCCCCTCTCTTCATGTCTCTTCTTCATCAACATGTGTCCCCTCTCTTCATGTCTCTTCTACATCAACATGTGTTCCCACTCTTTAGTCATTGTCATCTTTCTACATCAACATGTGTCCCCCTCTTCTTCATGTCTCGTTCTTACATCAAACATGTGTCCCCTTTCTTCATGTCTCTTCTACATCAACATGTGTCCCCTCTTCTTCATGTCTCTTCTACATCCAACATGTGTCCCCTCTTCTTCATGTCTCTTCTACATCAACATGTGTCCCCTCTCTTTCAATGTCTCTTCTACATCAACATGTGTCCCCTCTTCTTCATGTCTCTTCTACATCAACATGTGTCCCCTCTGTGTAAAGAGACTGGAAGTTTCAGGAACAAAGATTCTCTCTCTTTTTGTCCTGATCCATTTCTATAAAAACCTGTCTGAAAATGAGCTGATCAGATTTTGGTCACTTTTATGATGTCATAACTATGGTGTTGTCCTTGTGTAACCATTAGCCAATCAGCAACCAAGGTAACCCCCCCCCTTATCACCTGAATCTCCTCCTAGAGGTCCATTGAGTTCTTTTTTTTCTTCTCTCAGAGGGGCGTGGGGAGGGGCTCCTTATTTAACAGACAGAGAATCAGCACTTTGGAAACAGGGCTGAAACAGAGGGGATTATGGGTAATGCTGCAATGATCTGTTTGGTGTGTCAGCCAATCAGAGACAGGTTCTGTATTTATCTTGATACCTATAATATATTGATGAAAAACAGTATAATAGGGGACCTTTAGATAGGTCTCATTCTGTCTTGAACTAACGTCCGAGGGTGTGATTCCAAAATGTTTATTCTGTTGGAGCATTTTGACCGTTCTTCCCGTTCTCCCTGCAGCTGATCCTCGGCGCGTGGCTCAACATGTTCGGGGCGCTGGTTCGATTCCTCGGGACGGGGATCTCCACTGACCCTGTAGCCCGGTTTCCCTTAGTGATGTTCGGCCAGACGCTCGCCGCCATCGCTCAGCCGCTCGTCATCTTCACCCCCGCCAAGATGGCCGCTCTCTGGTTCCCTGATAACCAGCGCGCCACCGCCAACACCATCGCCTCCATGGGTGAGGGATTCGCTCTCTGGTGTCACTGAGAGCAGGTGGTGGGGTTTGGTCAAATCTGTCCAAAGACCAGAGAGGGCAAAAGTACACACATCCTTTACTCAAGTAGAAGTACAGATACTCGTGTTTAAAATACTCTGGTAAAAGTAGAAGTACTGACTAAACTTCTTTACTCAAGTAAAAGTAAAGAAGTTTGGGCAGAAAATGTTTTTATTGATTTAAAAAATAGTATTATTGATTTAAAAAACTGTTTTATTTATTTAAATTGACATGCATCCGCTAAGAAAAATAGTCCGTTGTTACTGTTTGAACTACGGAGCAGCGGCAGGAACTGCTTCGATAGCGTTTTTGCGGACCTTTTTGATTACAGATTTGAAAACATTGTTGCTTGCTTTAAAAGTAGCACAATTCATGATGTCAAACCTTGGAAAGCATCTCGATATCCCTGCCCTAATGCCAAAGGAACTGCACACTGAATATGTTTTGCCGTTAGACGTCTATGTCTGGACCGTTGCGTAAAAAGGACCGCAGCTCTGTGTTGAGGGTTTCTGCCCCGTTACTTCTCCGCTGTTTTCGTGTCCCTCTTGTCTTTTTCTTTTCTTCGCTGGGGAGTCATCAGCCACTAACAATTCATCCAAATGACTGTGCTCTCCAAATATATTAAAATGAATATTACAATCCTCAATGTTGCTCTCAGACGGTAGACAACGGAAAACTAAAGAGAAGCAAACTTTTCGGCCAAACTGTATACAGTTAAATCGACCGGACTTCTTTCTGCAGATGTGAGCGTCCTTAACAACGGTCAATAAGTCCTTGACAGCGGTCTGTACTACTGGATTAACCAATCAGAATCGAGTATTCAACTACTAAGCCATGTAATAAAAAGAGTACCTGACCTCCCTTTATATGAATAGAACAATAATGTCATTGTTAGCTAATGAATGTTTCCATGCTGAACAACGGCAACATGACAACGTTTCCATTGGTCCCTCTTCTTTAGAGAAGACCAGGAAATGATGGATACACGGATCGTGTTCAAATCAATAGGCACGCAATGACTCTAAAGAATAATGATCACGCACCAAACACACATTCAGACTAAAGGAACCAGCTGTTTGGAAAATGAGAGAAGTAGAAAGTACAAGTATTTGTGTTCAACATGTAAGAAGTAGAAAGTACAGGTATTTGAGTTCAACATGAGAGAAGTAGAAAGTACAGGTATTTGAGTTCAACATGTGAGAAGTAGAAAGTACAGGTATTGAGTTCAACATGTAAGAAGTAGAAGTACAGGTATTGAGTTCACACATGGAGAGAAGAGTACAGGTATTTGAGTTCACATGTAAGAAGTAGAAAGTAGGTATTTGTATTCACATGTAAGAAGTAGAAAGTAACGGTATTTGAGTTCAACATGTAAGGAAGTAGAAAGTACAGGTATTTGGGTTCAACATGTAAGAAGTAGAAAGTACAGGTATTTGTGTTCAACTGATTAAGAAGTAAGAAGTAGTAGAAAGTACAGGTATTTGAGTTCAACATGAGAGAAGTAGAAAGTACAGGTATTTGAGTTCAACATGTGAGAAGTAGAAAGTACAGGTATTTGTGTTCAACATGTAAGAAGTAGAAAGTACAGGTATTTGAGTTCAACATGTAAGAAGTAGAAAGTACAGGTATTTGAGTTCACATGAGAGAAGTAGAAAGTACAGGTATTGAGTTCAACATGTAAGAAGTAGAAAGTAGGTATTGTATTCAACATTAAGAAGTAGAAAGTACAGGTATTTGAGTTCAACAGTAAGAAGTAGAAAGTACAGGTATTTGTGTTCAACATGTAAGAAGTAGAAAGTACAGGTATTTGAGTTCAACATGTAAGAAGTAGAAAGTACAGGTATTTGAGTTCAACATGTAAGAAGTAGAAAGTACAGGTATTTGAGTTCAACATGTAAGAAGTAGAAAGTACAGGTATTTGAGTTCAACATGTAAGAAGTAGGAAGTACAGGTATTTGAGTTCAACATGTAAGAAGTAGAAAGTACAGGTATTTGAGTTCAACATGTACGAAGTAGAAAGTACAGGTATTTGAGTTCAACATGTAAGAAGTAGAAAGTACAGGTATTTGAGTTCAACATGTAAGAAGTAGAAAGTACAGGTATTGACTCTATAAGTAAGTACATTCAACATGTAAGAAGTAGAAAGTACAGGTATTTGTATTCAACATGTAAGAAGTAGAAAGTACAGGTATTTGAGTTCAACATGTAAGAAGTAGAAAGTACAGGTATTTGTATTCAACATGTAAGAAGTAGAAAGTACAGGTATTTGGGTTCAACATGTAAGAAGTAGAAAGTACAGGTATTTGAGTTCAACATGTAAGAAGTAGAAAGTACAGGTATTTGTGTTCAACATGTAAGAAGTAAAAAGTACAGGTATTTGTGTTCAACATGTAAGAAGTAAAAAGTACAGGTATTTGTGTTCAACATGTGAGAAGTAGAAAGTACAGGTATTTGTGTTCAACATGTAAGAAGTAAAAAGTACAGGTATTTGTGTTCAACATGTAAGAAGTAGAAAGTACAGGTATTTGTGTTCAACATGTAAGAAGTAAAAAGTACAGGTATTTGTGTTCAACATGTAAGAAGTAAAAAGTACAGGTATTTGAGTTCAAAATGTGAGAAGTAGAAAGTACAGGTATTTGTGTTCAACATGTAAGAAGTAGAAAGTACAGGTATTTGTGTTCAACATGTAAGAAGTAAAAAGTACAGGTATTTGAGTTCAACATGTAAGAAGTAGAAAGTACAGGTATTTGTGTTCAACATGTAAGAAGTAGAAAGTACAGGTATTTGAGTTCAACATGTAAGAAGTAGAAAGTACAGGTATTTGTGTTCAACATGTAAGAAGTAAAAAGTACAGGTATTTGAGTTCAACATGTAAGAAGTAGAAAGTACAGGTATTTGTGTTCAACATGTAAGAAGTAGAAAGTACAGGTATTTGAGTTCAACATGTAAGAAGTAGAAAGTACAGGTATTTGTGTTCAACATGTGAGAAGTAGAAAGTTCAGGTATTTGTGTTCAACATGTAAGAAGTAGAAAGTACAGGTATTTGAGTTCAACATGTAAGAAGTAGAAAGTACAGGTATTTGTGTTCAACATGTAAGAAGTAGAAAGTACAGGTATTTGTGTTCAACATGTAAGAAGTAGAAAGTACAGGTATTTGAGTTCAACATGTAAGAAGTAGAAAGTACAGGTATTTGTGTTCAACATGTAAGAAGTAGAAAGTACAGGTATTTGTGTTCAACATGTAAGAAGTAGAAAGTACAGGTATTTGTGTTCAACATGTGAGAAGTAGAAAGTACAGGTATTTGAGTTCAACATGTAAGAAGTAGAAAGTACAGGTATTTGTGTTCAACATGAGAGAAGTAGAAAGTACAGGTATTTGGGTTCAACATGTAAGAAGTAGAAAGTACAGGTATTTGTGTTCAACATGTGAGAAGTAGAAAGTACAGGTATTTGAGTTCAACATGTGAGAAGTAGAAAGTACAGGTATTTGTGTTCAACATGTGAGAAGTAGAAAGTACAGGTATTTGAGTTCAACATGTAAGAAGTAGAAAGTACAGGTATTTGAGTTCAACATGTAAGAAGTAGAAAGTACAGGTATTTGAGTTCAACATGTAAGAAGTAGAAAGTACAGGTATTTGAGTTCAACATGTAAGAAGTAGGAAAGTACAGGTATTTGGGTTCAACATGTAAGAAGTAGAAAGTACAGGTATTTGAGTTCAACATGTAAGAAGTAGAAAGTACAGGTATTTGAGTTCAACATGTAAGAAGTAGAAAGTACAGGTATTTGAGTTCAACATGTAAGAAGTAGAAAGTACAGGTATTTGGGTTCAACATGTGAGAAGTAGAAAGTACAGGTATTTGAGTTCCAACATGTAAAGAAGTAGAAAGTACAGGTATTTGAGTTCAACATGGAAGAAGTAGAAAGTACAGGTATTTGGGTTCAACATGTAAGAAGTAGAAAGTACAGGTATTTGAGTTCAACATGTAAGAAGTAGAAAGTACAGGTAATTGAGTTCAACATGGAAGAAGTAGAAAGTACAGGTATTTGGGTTCAACATGTAAGAAGTAGAAAGTACAGGTATTTGAGTTCAACATGTAACAAGTAGAAAGTACAGGTATTTGAGTTCAACATGTAAGAAGTAGAAAGTACAGGTATTTGTGTTCAACATGTAAGAAGTAGAAAGTATAGGTATTTGAGTTCAACATGTGAGAAGTAGAAAGTACTGGTATTTGTGTTCAACATGTAAGAAGTAGAAAGTACAGGTATTTGAGTTCAACATGTAAGAAGTAGAAAGTATAGGTATTTGAGTTCAACATGTAAGAAGTAGAAAGTACAGGTATTAGTGTTCAACATGTAAGAAGTAGAAAGTACAGGTATTTGGGTTCAACATGTAAGAAGTAGAAAGTACAGGTATTTGTGTTCAACATGTAAGAAGTAGAAAGTACAGGTATTTGAGTTCAACATGTAAGAAGTAGAAAGTACAGGTATTTATGTTCAACATGTAAGAAGTAGAAAGTACAGGTATTTGTGTTCAACATGTGAGAAGTAGAAAGTACAGGTATTTGTGTTCAACATGTAAGAAGTAGAAAGTACAGGTATTTATGTTCAACATGTAAGAAGTAGAAAGTACAGGTATTTGTGTTCAACATGTAAGAAGTAGAAAGTACAGGTATTTGTGTTCAACATGTAAGAAGTAGAAAGTACAGGTATTTGTGTTCAACATGTAAGAAGTAGAAAGTACAGGTATTTGTGTTCAACATGTAAGAAGTCAAAGTAAAAAGTCGTCAGGATAATAAGTAGTGGAGTAAAGTACTGATGCCAGAAAAATGTACTTAAGTACAGTAACGAAGTATTTGTACTCCACTACTTCCCACCTCTGCCAAAGACTAAACCATAAGAGAAAATGAATGTTCATGGAATATATTATCACTATTTATATTATTCAGCTACTCTATGTGAGACTTTGCCTGTAAAAAGCAAACACACAGGCTCCTCCTGTGGGTCAGGTACAGATTTCAGGCTGTTTGATAACCAGTTTAAAACTCTTTAGTACTTTTACCACAGGACATAAACCAGTTTGACTGTTCTCTCCTCAGCCAACCCTCTGGGCATGCTGCTGGCCAGCATCCTCTCTCCATGGATGACTCAAACATCTGGAGACATCCCCAACCTGGTGAGCCACAAAGAGACTTCTTTCTTAGAACAGCAAACTCCCTTGAAATGTTTAAAAGCTAATTAAAAACATATATTTTTAACATGGCTTTTTTAATTTGGGTTAACTTTCAATTCTCACTAGTATCATTGTCCATGTTTTACTGTATTTTATCTGAATGTTTTCAATCTCCTGGCAGGACTTTGCAGCAGTTTTGATGTTGAACTAGACTTCCAGTGAATACTGATATTGCTCTGTGTGTGATGGAGGGTTAAAGGCGACTGATTGCTGAGCTCAGTCGGCCAAAACAACTTCACACGTTGTAATATGTGCAATCTTCTGCCTTCTAAGTGGGTAAAAGAAGTCACTTTAATGATTCATCCAACGCTACAAAAGCATCTCTTAACAACCAGAGCTGTTCTGGATGGTTTTTATTGTACATCCCAAGCATCAAACATAATGTATTTCATCCGTCTTTTTATTATGAAATACATGTTTTTGTGATATAAGATTATAACCAGGGGTGCACATAAGTGGTGCGCAGGTACACATGCGCGGCAAACATCTGAAATGCGTACCGGCGGACTTGTGAAGCATTTCCAGAAGACGCTTCGATCACTGGACGACATCACTGGCGCTGTGCGCACAAACGGGGCTGCTGTTAACGTCGGTGTGTACAACGGAATTGTGACACAACTTCCGGTGCGAGTTCCACGTGCGTGCTCCACTAGCACCCACCTCCACCCCTCCCGTCGACGTTCAATACCACACCCCCCAGCCCCCGTCGACGACGTTCGCGAAACAGAAGGGGTGAACACGGAACTTTGCGTGGGCAGCCCTGAGTACCAAACATTGTCTCCTGGTACTCATTTGAGTAACTCACTAAGAAAGTTATGTGCTGATTATAACTCATCTGTTTGTGCCTCCCTCGTCATGCAGCAAGGAAAGAGCAAACCGTGTTTTGACTTGAGTTGAAAAGCTAAACGTCACAAAGTATGGATGGAACCAGATTATCTCCTTAAACAAACACATGTTGCTTTTTAAATACATTTTGACTTTTGGACTGTACAACGGTCGCAAGATATTTTGTCATGTTTGGAAAATATGTTACGAAACCACTGAAATCTAATAAATAATATACAACTTAAATATTAAGATCAGAGAACACCTGTGCAGAAATGCCAGGTTTAAACTGAATAAATACTCACATCTATGTTTTGATTGAAGCTATTCAGCACATTCTTCGGATATTATTATAATGAGGTGTCCTGAATGCAAGTAACTACAATCAAGCCCGCCTTAACCTGCCATCAGGCCCTGGGGCTGATAGTTTTTGTAGGCCCCCTATTTAAACAACAAATCAAAGTCATTTATAGCCTCGGCAGGCTCTGTGGTCGCACTTCTCCACTCTGCTCTACGCGCGCCTGGTCCTCTCCTCCAGATGAGTGACGTATCGGGCATCCCTCATGTATTTGTCCGGTTGCCGTTGGCTCCCCTCCACGTAGCAAGTCCTCGTCGTCCTCTCCATCTCCTCCAACATCCCTCCTGTCTGATTTTCCTCTCCCGCTACTCCATCGCTATCAGAACCAGACGGCCTACTTGGCTCCGAGGCCCCGCGGCCGGCACCGCTGCCGCTCGGTACAGAACTCATCTGTCCTTCCTCCTCATCCTGGCCTACAGGTTTAAAATAACCTGTAAGCTTCGGCATGTTTTGTAATAGCTGCTTGTCTCGAAACTCCTTTTCCCTCAACAATTTCCTTTTCTGAGTGCCACTCTCACACTTTTTCTTCTCCGACATTTTCTCCTAAACAACCTTCATCTGTCACTCAATCACTCGCAATTTGAATAAGTCACATGCGAAACATATTCTCATTCTGATTGGCTGTTAAGTGGTGCCCACTGACTGTTACGGAGTCATCTCTGGAATCCATCGATCTGATTGATTAGCGGAGCAAATGATCAAAATACTACGGAGAGAAGATATTTTCGTTTGGATTACTGGTCTGGGGGAAGCTCACGAGTGTGTGTGTGTGTGTGTGTGTGTGTGTGTGTGTGTGTGTGTGTGTGTGTGTGTGTGTGTGTGTGTGTGTGTGTGTGTGTGTGTGTGTGTGTGTGTGTGTGTGTGTGTGTGTGTGTGTGTGTGTGTGTGTGGTGGGTGTGGTGTGTGTGTGTGTGTGTGTGTGTGTGTGTGGTGTGTGTGTGTGTGTGTGTGTGTAAGCGACTTACAATAAGTACATTCGACCAGGAAGACACAACCTTGAAGAAAACAGCATCATATAAGTACATCAGGTTTCATAGAGCAAACATTTCAAGTGCTACTCAACTGGCTTTAGGTAAGCCAGTCCTTTGTTAGTATATAAGTGCTTTGTTAATAATTCTTGTTAGTAATTCTTTGTTAATAGTTCTATCGCTCGAAGTGGAGTCGAAAGAGATGAGTTTTCAGTCTGCGCCGGAAGATGTGTAAGCTTTCTGCTGTCCTGATGTCAATGGGGAGCTCATTCCACCATTTTGGAGCCAGGATAGCAAACCCACGTGTTTTTGCTGATGGGAACTTGAGTCCCCCTCGCAGTGCGCGTGCAGCGAGCTGTTTGGCTGATGCAGAGCGTAGTGCACGTGCTGGGGTGTGACGTTAAGTTACTCCGTTCTCCGCTTGTAATTATGCCGTTACAAGCTTCAAAGCTATATTTATCATCTGAATTTGCCGAAACAAGTTTAATATTCTGAAAGCCAAGACTTTGTTTATTTGAAATCAGATGAAAACAAACTGTAACGGACCCTGCCGTGTTATCTATGATTACTATATAATATGCCTTACATTCATAATTTCAGCGGAGGGAAGGGCTGTGGAACAGCAGAGTGTCTGACTGTCATCTTCCCTTTACAATCTTCAAAAATGTATTTATCGTGTGATTTTGGAAATAAAAGTGTCATATTCTGAAAGCCAAGACTTTGTTTATTTAAAATTAAAATAAAACACCCGGAAAAAAATGTTTTGGAAACATTTAAAAACAAAAAAAAAGTATTGGCTCATGATAGGCCCCCGATCTCCATAGGCCCCTGGCTTCAGCCCAGGTCAGCCCGTGCATTAAGGCGGCCCTGACTACAATCATGTCCCTGCATTTAAACCCTGTTGATTGCCTTTCTTGCATATGTCTACTTTCAACTGTCCATCAACTGTTAACGTGTCTTTAAAAAAAGACATCAGTTCGCTATAATAATTGGATTCCCAGAGTGCATTGTGGGATTGCGGCTGCTCACCTGCTAATGATGATGAATGGTTTTTGATTTCAGGTGCCAAAGTCCATTTATCACATTATGTGTGTGTGTGTGTGTGTGTGTGTGTGTGTGTGTGTGTGTGTGTGTGTGTGTGTGTGTGTCCCTCCTCTAGCTGCTGGCCTATGCAGTCCCGGCGTGCATCATCTGTTTCCTAGCAACAGTGGGGCTACGGAGCAGCTCCCCCCCCACGCCGCCGTCAGCCAGCGCCGAGTCCTCCGGCTCAGAGCCATTCGTACAGGGCATCAAACTGGTGAGGACGACACAGAAACACACACTCATTTCATTTTAAAGGGGACCTATCATGCAAAATGCACTTTTTTATGTCTTTTATACATAAATGTGTCCCCGGTGTGTCGGGGAACTCACGCAGCGTCAGAAAATAAAACCCTCTCTCTTTTCCTCCGTACCCAACTCTTTAAAAACGGAGCAGATCCAGATTGGCGTCCGATATCACGTAATATCTGAAATGTGGCCAATCAGAAACGTTCCTATCAGAAACAATGCCCGACTGTTTTGGACGTAATATGGTCTGTGTTTACATTAGCATCGCTAACACTCAGAGCTAACCTGTACTGGAGAGCATGTGTGTGAAGAAGCAGGAAGTAAAAAGGAACTCACCTTGTGGTATAACCGGCAAGAGAGAAAGCCTTTGAGCTCCAGACTGTTTCAGAGAGAATCCTTGATGTGGTTTGGAACATGATGTTCTTTAATCACGGCAGCATTTAACTGTAGCTGCTGGGTCATTCTGAGCAGGCATTAGCTCCGCCTCCCCTAAGGACCCCGAACCTGCAGTTCTCTAACAGGCTGAAACAGAGGGATTTGAGGGATGTCTAAAATGCATGATCTGTTTGGTATTTTGAGCAAAACACATCATAGACATGTTTTTTTATATATTTGTATATATCTGAGACTCATAATATATGCCTAAAAATAGCATGACAGGTGACCTTTAATGTTTAGTTTTGTTTCTCCTTGTGTGTGTTCTCTTTGCCAGCTTATATTTGGTCTCCTTCTGAAATGTTTCACTGACCTCATTCTCCTTTCTCCATGTCACCCTGTCAGTTACTGAAGAACCGAGCCTACCTGGTTCTGATGCTCTGCTTTGGGTCGGGCATCGCCGCCTTCACCTGCTTCTCCACGCTGCTGGAGCAGATCCTGTGTGTGCAGGGGTACTCCAACGTGAGTGCAATGCATCATGGGGGATTAATGGGTGTCATGGTGCATACATAAAAGTAAAACAAACACAGATAGAGAACTAGAAAAATATAAAAAATATAGTAAAATATAACAGTATTTACATGGGATGGAATAAAATATGGAATAAAAATCGGCAGTAATAAAAACAGATATTGTTGTACATTGTGTGCATTCATGTAATGCAATTTGTGGCTGTTAGTTTACTTACTTTAATAATACTGCTATTATTACACGTGTGCGTGACTCTTTTTATAACAGGTTAGCCTGCTATCTTATATTGTCTCTTAGCTGTTGTACAAATAACTGCTGTGGGACTGATACAGGATTTCTGATAAAAACCATTACATAGTGGAGAATTGTTTGTCAGTAAACGATACGATCAATCAATCAATCAATCAATCAATCAATCAATGTTTATTTATATAGCCCAATATCACAAATGTTACATTTGTCTCAGTGGTCTTCACAGTTTGTACAGAATATCAGTATGACAATACGACACCCCTCTGAAAATAGAGAGGGTTGTGTTTTCTGACACTTGGTGAGTTCCCTGGAACACATTTTGCATTATAGGTCCCCTTTAAGTAACTGATTAGGATGAAGTAAAGACTCTCACCCACAGTAATCAGACGGTTAAAATGTGATTTCTGCAGGAGTTTGCCGGTTTGTGTGGAGCGCTCTTCATCGTGTTCGGGATCGTCGGTGCCGGCGCTCTCGGTCTCATCGTGGATAAAACTAAGAAGTTCATCGAAGCCACGAAGATCAACCTGAGCCTCAGCGCTGTCGCCTGCATCGCCTTCTCCGTGGTGAGGAAACAGAACTCACTGTTTGTGCTTTTACTTTGTTTAAAGGAGTGATTTATTAAGGATATCAGAAACAGGTTTATCAGCAGGTCGGTTGACACGTACGAAGAATTTGACTAGGTGTCGTGGTGCATACATACAAATAAAACAAACGTTAAAAAAACACAGATAGCGAACCATTTTAAGAACAATATAATAACATTACAAAAAATATAGTAGAATAGAAATTCAAATAAAGCAGTAATTTACATCGAAATAGAATGCAATAAAATATAAAATATGTGCAGTAAGCAAACCAGATATTGTCCACATTGTGTCCACGTGTGAGGCTGTTAGAAAAAAGAGAAAAAAGCTCGGGCAAGATGGAGGAGAGTTTCAGAAGGACATTAGTTATTTGACTCAGTACATTTATTTTAATCATTATTTTTCAGTATTATGAAAGTATCTTGATGATGTCCGTATATCCCATAAATGCACTTATAGCAATGTTCTCCTTCTTGTGTAGGAAAGCTTATGAAGGAAAAATGGTGCGAACTAACTCAATAATAAAACAGACAATGTATACAGACAAGGTACAAGAACACAAAGGTAGTTGAAGCAGGAGGACAGAGAGCATGGCTTATAAGGAAACTAGCTCTCCTGTCAGTTAGTCCACCAACACCATGTGCAATAATATTATTATTATTAATAATGTTCTATAAATAATGTGCAATTACGCATCTGCCACTCAGAGGTGGCGCTAGACTTTTTCGCTGCCCGTCAATTTGACGAACAGGATCGTAAAACTTCTGTCAAAATCCATTATTACGATTATTACCCGTCGGTCTGTACACAACTCTGACGGTTGAACTAACCGTTCACGGCACTAACTGTTAGCGCCAGTGTTATGCCGTGTTATGCACGCCCACTGCACCTCGCGGGAGCGCGCGCAGCGTAAAGCAAATACTCCCAGACAATTCAATGATTTGTTCGGCAAAGTTAGGTTTGGAAACGATATAATTTCCTTTTTGGCGGGCATGCATAACACGGCATAACACCGGAGCCCCGCTGCGGGGATACTTTGCCGCTGTCCTGAGTTTGTTCTAATCCGTCAAAATGACGGACTGCTTTCAGATTTTTCGGTCATTGTTAAAAAAAATCCATCATAGACGTTTTTTTGCAATACTAAATAATGTTAATATTTACATTAATGATGTGACTGTCTATGTTTCCTGTAGATATTGAATTGCTCTTGTTACTGCACTGTTAGTTTACAGTTTTATTATTATTGTGCTGCTGTGTTTATTGTATTTGTGTAACTCTGGCACAACAATTTCCTTCGGGATGAATAAAGTCTTATCTTATCCAATCACATCGCAGCTGGTCCAAGACCTGAAATACCACAACAACAAAAGTAATTATAAATCCCCTTGAATGACTTCCTGTGACACTCAGAGTTTTCTCTCTCCTCTCAGGTGTCTCTAATGCCGCAGCAGAAAGTCGCCGTCGCCGTCGTCTGCTCGCTCTTCGGCTTCTTCGGTTTCTCCATCTACCCCGTCGTCATGGAGCTCGCTGTGGAGTGCACCTATCCCGTCGGAGAGGCCACGTCTTCGGGACTCATCTTCGTATCGGGGTACAGCAAACACACAGATCACACTACGGCAGATTGCTATTCAAATGTAAAATAATGTGCAGTTTGAACACATTTCTACCCGGATGTTATGTCCAAAAGTCCTGGGTTTCTCCTAAAAGAGAGTTGTTCATTTGAACAGTTTGAAGTCAAATAATGGTCAAAGCTCAGTTTCTTTTTCATGTTAAAGAAAGTACAATAGAGAATCAAGAGAAGTTCAAATGAGCTGTCGACTATGCTCCACATTTCAAAGTGAAAAAGGGAACAGTCAATTCTGTTTGTAACATATTTAAAAAAATCCAATGTCCATACACAGATCAGTTCCTGGACTTGATCTACTTTCAAATCCAGGCTGAAGACTTTTCTTTTTGCCGCTGCTTTTAATTGAACTATTCACATCTTAAACTGCACTGTAACTTTAAAGGGGACCTATCATGCAAAATGCACTTTTTGATGTCTTTTATGCATAAAGATGTGTCCCCGGTGTGTCAGGGCACTCACGCAGCATCAGAAAATAAAACCCTCTCTCTTTTCCTCCGTACCCAAATCTCTAAAAACGGGGGAACAACGGAGCTGATCCAGATTTGCGTCCGATATGACAGAAACGTTGCTATCAGAAACAATGCCCGACTGCTTTGGACGTAATATGGTCGGTGTTTACATTAGCATCGCTAACACTCAGAGCTAACCTGTACTGGAGAGCATGTGTGTGAAGAAGCAGGAAGTAAAAAGGAACTCACCTTGTGGTATAACCGGCAAGAGAGAAAGCCTTTGAGCTCCAAACTGTTTCAGAGAGAATCCTTGATAATCCATGATATGGCGTTTCATCACGGCAGCATTTAGTTTAGACAGTAGCTGCCGGGTCCCGCATGAGCTCAGACCCCTCCTCTTTTTATTTATTAAACATTTTTATTTTTAAAGCTTTATTCCCCAAATCAGCACTTTTGAAACAGGAAGTGAAATAGAGGGATATGAGGCATGGCTAGAATGGGTGATCTGTTTGGTATTTGGAGCAAAACACTTAATAGACATGTTTTTTATATATTTGTATATATCTGAGACCTATTGCCTAAACATAGCATGATAGGTGACCTTTAATTCATGTCCCTTTGTTATTCATGTTTTATTATCTTTGCTTTTAAATGAGTGTTTCTAAATGCCATCTTATAATATGTTCCTTAATTCTCTTAATGTCTTTCATTTTTGTAAAGCATTTTGAATTGAAAGGTGCTGTATAAATAAACCTTGATGTGATCTTGATGCTGACGCTGCGTGTTTCAGACAGGTCCAGTCCTTCCTCTACATCGTGCTCCTGCAGGCTCTCAGCAAACGCCTGGCCGACTCCCCTCTGTCCACCTGTGGAGACGCAGTGCTCAGCTGGAAGGGTACGTCACTTCCTGTTACACTATCGACATTACTCAAAGATTCAAAGGTTTAAAGCTACAGTGTAGAGATGGCAATGCCATTCTTCTGACCTGAGCTCCTCCAACAATGCAACATATATAATAAAATACAAACATACAACTACAATAATATCACTAAATAATAGAACATTTACGATACACAAAAACAACAAGAAAACAAATGTTAAACTATTAAATAATATATAGCTCCAACAAATAGTAAACGTTATCCTTTGAGGACGTTGAGCTCCTGGGAACTGAAGTGTAGTTGTAATATCTGCTGTGTGTGTCTTCAGTGCCGATGCTGGTGCTGGGGGGGCTGACCTGCGTCTTCTCCTGCATCTTCGTCCTGTTCTTCAACACGAGGTACCGCCGGCTGGAGGCCGAGGAGCAGGCCACGTACAGGACCAACACCATAAACTCCTCGCCCCCCGAGAGCACTCCCAGTGAGAGGAAGGAAACTGCTGACTGTTGACCACAGACTGACAGACAGAGGGCATTATGGGAGTTATACCTGGTACCAAACAGAGAGAAGACATTCCTTCACCCATAAACAAGTTTTTATGACGTTGATGCCAAACTGACATTTATCCTGTTGCTACTACCATCTTCAGAAAATTGTAAACTGATTTTATTGATATATTTTATGCTTTTTTTTTACAGAAAAATGTA